GAATGTCAGTGCCATCTTCCGTCAGCCGCGCTGCACTGCACAGCCCTGGAAATTGGGGCTGGAAAAGCGGGATTGCATCACCCAGCCCTTCCAGCCTGGCTCAAAGCCTTCCCCTTGGAAAAATCCTGAACCAGCAGAGTTCCCACCCCTTCACACCCCAACCAGCTCTGGCCAGGGGGAGGTTTCTGCCACTAGAGTACGCTTGCAACCTTCCGTCATTACAGAATATATTTTATTTATGGAATTTTACAAATAACTTTACAATTCACGTGACATAAGTTATGTTCTTTGTTTCAACGCGCATCTCTTACAACACCTGAGTTATTGAAATACTGAGATGGAACTTGAGCGTCGAACCGGACACGGGAAGGGAAACATGGATGAAGAATCCATAACAAGCTCGATTTGGGGCACTTTCCCTCCTCGTCCTCCCACCCTGCCCCATCCCTTCCCCGACGGTGGGTACCAGCCCGAGCCAGGGACGGGAGCTCTCTCCCACCGCTCCTTTGGCAGAGGAGGGGTTGTTTCTCCGAGGGGTTTAAACCCCTATACCCCAAATCTCTGATTCGCAGATTTCTCAAGAGTTGACTCAAGAAGCAAGAGTTAAATTTGAAATGAGAAGACGATGGACCTCGCCGCATGCCCAGGGGCCCGTACCGGCTCCGAGGAAGCCAAGCGTCAGTCCTTGCCACCTTTCCAGCTCTCGGGGACGCAGAGGACCTCCCGGGCACAGTCTGCAAGCGCCTCGTGGTCCCCAGGGGACAGACAACGAGATTTCCCCCCCTTCGCCTCCAACGCAGAGGCTTTTCCATCTGTGCGCATTTTTTACCCGCTCCGCCCACCGACGACTGAGCCCTGGCAGTGCTATGGCTGCCCTCTGCCCCGTGGAAAGCCGCCAGCGATACGGTGTTTTCCAAATACTTCCTTGAGAGAGAAGAGAGGGCACATATGCCATTCAAAGGACTCAGTTTTTCCACATCAAGTCAGTCAGATGGGGCCGCAAGCGCTCTCGAGCAGGGAAAGGGAGTTTCCAATACCTCTTTCGTCCCCCCTACTGAAAAAAAACAGCAACCCAAAGCGTGTGTAACGACCACGAGGTGCTGCAGAGGTGGCTGGGTGCCCGAGCCAGGACAGACCACCCTGCTTCGAGGCAGCTCTGTCCCACAGACCAGCTGCAGAGGGAAGAGTGACTTATGATGACCGTCCACACGAACTAGAGACACTGCACGGGATAAAGCAGAGCCCTTCTCTCCTTGAGGGTATCACCAACGGCAGAAAGCGGCCCGAGGACCGTGTGGTACCTCTGGGTTTAAGGGTGCTCCCAAGAAGGCTCCCTGCTTCTCTACATGATGATATTTAACTTTCTGGGTTGGCTCTGGGACAAAGCCAACAGCCGCCCGGGTGCCAAGGGGACAAAGTCAATGCCTGGCTTAGCCAAAGCCACCGAGAGCAGAGTGCCGATCCGCAAGGATACAGGCAGTGCCACATCTCAACAGGCAGAGACCTACGGACTCAGGGACAACTGTCAGGAGCCTAAGAGGAACATCATCCAGCTGGTACCTAAGGCAAATGAGGAACTAGTGAGGTACTGGCAGCCAGCGATCAGACCACGATATGACACCACTGGATGGGGCTGAGCCTACCCCAGGCTTCGCCAAGGGCTGAGGTCCCTTGTCTGTCTTGCAATGGGCAGGAAAAATAACCAGCACGCCTTCCGCTTTGCTTTCCAACGGGTTGGAAGGGAAGGTGTGGGAAGCCTTGGCTCCAGCCCCTGGTGCTGAGCAGCAGCGAGCCGAGGTGGCAGGATGGCCGTCACCCCGCCACACGCACCCATGGCCACCTGCACCCACAGGGAGTGAAGGAAGACACTTGGTGACACGCCATCCATCCCCGGCACGTACACCAAAGCACTTCTCCAAGCTCTCCGCACCGCTCCTTCATCCCCATCCAGCGCCATACCCACGAGGGTAAGCCGCCTAAATCAGCTCCGCTTCTCGGCGTGGCCACAAACTCACCACTACCGGGTGCGGGATAAGGTTTGTGGGGGGAGAAGGGGGCGCAAGGAAACCTCAAGCAACACGGGTGGGGTGGGCAACATTATCAATATGATAATAAGACAATTCACCTAGTGAATCTGGGGAAAGCCAGCCCAGAAGCAGAGCTGTGAAGTGCCTGTAACACCCTTTCTCTGGCTAATCCCTAAGGCTGGGAACACACAACCTAAAGAGGTTCACAGTCTATTTTCTTTTTTCTTTTTTTTTTTAAAAAAAAAAAAAAAAACCAAACAAAACCCCCCCCCCCCCCCACCCCACCTGGAACCTCTGCAGCTCAGCAGCATCAGTGTTTAAAAAACCGGTGTCCGTTCCCAGGTGTCGGCGTGAGTTTGGTCACAGTGTAAAGACCGATGCCCTGGTTGGGGAGCCTGTGGCCGGGCAGGGGCTCGCTGTCCCGGCTCTGCCCTTGTCCCGCACTGCTCTCATGCCCTTCTCACCAGCATCACCCTACGGCAGCCCTCATGGAAGGAGAAGGGTTTTTTTTCCCCCCTCCACATACAGCAGCAGGGACCTAGGGGAGGTTAAGGGCATCCTTCATCCCTAACGCAGCCCACGTGTCAGTCCGAACTGTATGAGGTGCGGTTTGGTGTCCTCTGCTCCGAGCGCTGATGACCAGAATGTGCTTTTAAAAAAAAAAAAAAAAAATTAAAAAAAAAAAAAAATCAACAACCCTCTTCACCCTGCTCTTCCCAGGGCATCGTCTGGGCTGCCAAGGCAGAAAGGGAGCAAAACCAGATGCGGCTCCAGAGACACGCTTCTGAAGACAGCAAGGATGATGCTCAAATCACGAGCCACGCTCCTCGAGCCTCCTCTTCCTCGGCAGCCCTCTGTGCTTGGAGAGCACAGCTCTGAGGACTGGCTGGTAGGTAATGCTCCGACAAGAGTCTGTCCCAGTCTGTCCCCATCACGCACCCCCCACAAAGGGGTCACGTCCCATCGCACCGCTCCGAGCACAAGGAGGGGAGCAAAACGGCTAGAGGAGCTCCTGTCTCCTAACTCCATCCTTCCCAGGAGACATGAGGAGAGAAGGGATATGACACTGGAAAGAGATCCTCCGGTCAGTTCGGTCCTACAGCAAAGGGGATGAAGTTCCCCTTAGCCTTAAACCAAAATAAAAGGAAGTCTGTGGAACAGCTTTAAAAGCAATGCCTCTTCTTCTGTAGTGAGATGTCAGTGCCCGCACAGGTACCGTCGTATGCTTGAAGCAGGAAAAGGAAAGAAAAAAAAAAAAGAAATACCCCTTCCCCCCTCCCTCCCCCCCAAAAAATGGAAAAACTGGAACAGGGCTGCGAGTCGGGCTGGTCCTACCCTATCTGGATCTGGCCAGAGTACATGGTGAGCAGCACCATGATGGTGAACCCCGTCAGCAGCCCCGCGTTCTGGATGGCGAAGGTGATCAGTGCGCTGCCGTTCTGCTCGTCCTCCCGGCTGACCTCATTCATTTCGGGGAACTGTGGGGGAAGAGAGCAATGGCAGGGCTCAGCGCCAGCTCAGTCCTTCCCGGCCCTGCGTGCCGCTTCCCACCCTGTGCCACCATCCCAGCCAATATTCGCCACCCATCCCAGGGCTTTCAGCCGGGTCACCGTGCCACCAGCCCAGGCAAAGCAAAGCAGACGAACGCCAGCCACTACAGACAGCATCTGCGTTGGCCAGAGGGACAGAGCAAACACTCCCCTGTGCTCTCCACGCCTGCCTTGCCTCCAGGCTCTTCCTCTAGCCAGGCAAAAAAACCCTGGCAAGGTCCCGACCACGTGCCCGGCAGCCTCCCCCGGGGTCAGCACTTACCATGTCAGCCAGGGCAATGTGCAGAAACATCCCTCCGGCCAGAGCAAAG